ACGTTTAATTTAGAGGAAACCTGCTTCCCCCTGCCGCCATTTTGAGCCTTACATCTTCCATGTCCACTCCGCATTCCTCAAGGAAGGAACTCAGCAGCTTTCCTGAGGCCTGAGAGATGACTCTGTCTTCCACTGTCAGGTTGTCAATCGCCTTCAACACGACTTCGTTGATCTGGCTGGGCGTGAGGTGCTCCCCAAAAGCCTGGCACAAAGAAGAAAGACGAGGGAGTTTTCTTCTGCTCCGCATCTGACCACTTTTCAGTAGTCCAAGGGACAAACCAAGTGAAAGACACATCCACTCTGCCTGAGATGACCCTCAGGGTCCCTTCCAACTCTCCAATTCTGATTCTATCTACATGTTTATTTAAGTAACTGAAAGATTTCACAACAAACAAAACTAAGAGTCGGGTGACGCCTTCCTATTTTCGATCCCCATCTAAAACTGGTTATGACCTTGGAACATGAAGAGGTACAATCTAAAGTCAGACTAGAAAATAAGACAACTGCTCTTGCAGAAACAGAGAGGGCGAGTAATAGTGGATATCAGTTGTATAATCAATCAATGCCAAACGAAGTCAGATTAGGTGGGAACCTGCAGGCTGTGTGTTTATTTCTTAATATACGTCAAAAACATCCACCACAATGTTAGCATAGTCCAGGCTTCCTCAAGCTCAGCCCTCCAGATGATTTGAGACTACAATTCCCAGCATCCCTGACCACTGGTCCTGCTAGCTAGGGATCATGGGAGTTGTAGGCCAAAAACATCTGGAGGGCCGAGGTTGAGGAAGCCTGGCATAGCCCATTGGCTTGGCAGTGCCTCATGAAACGGGCACCAAATGGGTCAACTTTTCATACTCTTTTTCTGCCCAAGGTGGCAATGCATGCTTCTCTCTCCTCCCCATTTCATCCTCATGAGGTAGTTTAGACTGAGAGACCGTGACTGACCCCATGAGTTTCCTGGCTGAGTGGGGATCTGAGCCCTAGGTCTCCCAGCGCCTGGTCAGACTCTCTAGCCACTGCACCACACTGCCTCTTCTTGATCCAGCAAAGGTCAGACATGCAGGGAAGCAGCTCTCCTCACCGCAGTGGCCCATCAGATGCACAGCTAGGGCTACTCCACAATTCTCCTGCAGGATCCATTGGCCTGGCAGCTTGCAGCTTGTAATGCATATGGGTCTCTATCCAGGGCTCACAGTTGTGGCAGTGCCTGAGTAGTTTGGGGTTGAGATCTATCTATCATCTATCTATCATCTATCTATCTATCTATCTATCTATCTATCTATCTATCTATCTATCTATCATCTATCTATCATCTATCTATCTATCTATCTATCTATCATCTATCTATCTATCTATCATCTATCTATCTATCTATCTATCTATCTATCTATCTATCTATCTAATGTTTTGTGTAATGTGACCTTTTAGAATACAGTCATACCTCGGTTTACAACCGCTTCAGGTTGCGTTTTTTCAGGTTGCAGACCACCGAAACCCGGAAGTACCGGTTTGTGCATGCGCAGAAGTGCTGAATCGCAACCCGCGCATGCGCAAACACGGGTTGCAAATGCTGCGGGTTGCGAACGTGCATCCTGCATGGATCACGTTCGCAACCCAAGCGTCCACTGTAAGTAGAATTTGGCATGCAGTTTAGACCAATGGGCGCTTGGCTTCAAAAGATTTATTCTAATACAATGCATTTCCATATGTTATTTACACTAATTTATTCATTTTCTGGACACTTTTAGCTTGCACAATCCTTTTTGTAGACACTGTTTGGCCAGGAAATGGCCCTGAAAAACTCAAGGATGTATGAATTTCAGAGGCAGCTTATGTTTCCGTTCTCATATTGTTTCAGGAAGCCTGGATTTGATAGCTTTGGCTTTAAATGTGAACTGCTCTGAATCTCTTCCTCATCTCCTAGAAGGCGTGGGCTGCTAACTGAGAGCTGGCTGCAGTCTTAGCAAGAAACAGTCCAAAAAGCCACACCTACCTTGGCCACTTTGGAGATGTCAGAGTAAAAGATTGCGGGCCCAGGGATGAAGAAGTCTTCTCGTGCCCATTGGACCACGTTGCCTTTCCAGTTCTTACGCCTCATCTCCACCTTCTTAGCTAAACGGGGTCAGGGATGGGGATATGCAGGCAAAAGAACACAGCATTAGTGCTCCCTGCACAAACCCCCCAGTTTCCCCACTGCGACCCACAAAAAGATTCTCAATTTCACCTCAAAAATTATAATTCAGAACTGGGAAAGATTCAGAAGGGGGCAACCAAAACTCCGGGACATCCAATGAAACTGAAGTTTCAGGATGGTCGCAGCATTTGGGGGATTTTCCGTTTAGAAAAATGGTGAGGAAGAGGATACACAATGTATAGCAAGGGGAAAGTGGAGAGAGAGAAAGCTTTCTCTCTCTCCCTCCTAACACGAGAACTCCTGGACCTCCAATGAAACTGAAGTTTCAGGATGGTCCTCCTTCTTGCAGTGCACAGCTCAACTTTGGAACTCCCTGCCACAGGAGGCATGATGGCCACGGACCAAGGTGGCTTTCAAATTCATGGAAGAGAAGGCTACCCATGGCTATTAGCCAGGATGGCTATGCTCGGCCTCCACGGTCAGAGGCAGCAAAGCACAGGAGGAGAAAGAGCTCTTGAGTTCGAATTCTGCTTGCTGGTTTCCCACAGGCACCTCGTCAACCCCTGGGGGAACAGGATGCTGGACTGGGCTGGGCCACTGGTCTGATCCAGGCGGCTTTTCTTGTCTTCTTCAGCAGTGAATCCCTCCCCTCAGACTGACCTCTCGTCTCTGGCCAAAGGAGTGTTTGCGTTAGGCCAGTGCTGGCCCAAATTCTGGCCCTCCTGAGCTCCCATCACCCCCAGCAGCAGCCAGCCTGGGCAACACTCAGGGATGATGGGAGTTGGAGCAGCCTCTGGAGGGCTGCAGATCTCCCACCCTGCGGCTTGCAAGAAACACCCCCTTTCCCAGCACCCCCCTCACCCATTTTGGCTATCATGATGCAATGGAGATGGTGCAAGGCCTCCGCTGACTGCAGGCCAATTTCCTCCACGTCTGCGAGGTGAAGGGACAAGAGCGCCACCAGCTGTCCCAGAAGGGGGAAATCCTGGGATATCTAGGAGGTGGAGAGAGAGATGCACAGTCAGCCCTCGTCCCACAGAGCCCAGCAAGAGAAAACTGTCTGGCATGCTTTCAGGCAGCAAAGGTGGCAGAGGGGCGCAGGCAAGAGACCTGGGCTTAGGTGGCCCACCCAAGGCTTGCCCCAGGGCTTTCCCCCCAGCCAGAACTCACTGGAACTCAGTTCTGGCACCTCTCAGGTGGGCGCTATTGCCATTATAAGAGAATGTGGGAGGTGAGTTCATGGTGATTCCTGGCACCTCTTTTTCTAGGAAAATAGCACTGGCTGGCACCTTCCCCTGGGATGGACATGCCACACCGCTTTGGGGAGCAGGGGAAAATCCATCTAGTTCACACCTGAACTTTCCAAAGCAATACGCCAACCAAGACACAGGTTTTCCTTCAAAATCCTCGCTTCTACAAATTTGGCAATGCAGTTCTCCAAAGCACCACAACAAAATGCAGATGTTACGGGAGAAGGTATACAGAAATGCACAATTCATAAAAGCAACATGCTTGAATCCTGGGTAGACCAAGTCTCTTTTTACCTGTCTACTTTCTGGTACCCCTGGATACATCTTGGCAGCTAGAGGCCCAAATATCCTCTAGGGCTAGGCGTGCCTTTTACCAGCTTTCTCTGGTTTGCAAACTATGGCTCTTCCTAGACAGGGATAGCCTGACCACTGTAGTCCATATTTTGGGAACCTCAAGGCTAGATTACTGCAATGTATTCTGGGGGGGGGGGGGCTGCCCTTGGCAGTTAAAGCAAGTTAAAAACGAAAATGAAAAAAGACCCATTCGCGTTATCTAATCGGAATGATCTGTTATTGTATTCCTGTGTATTTATATTGTAAACCACCCTGTGATCCTCAGATGAAGATCAGTATGGAAATTTAATACATAAAAAAAACAACACACATCTGAAATTGCAGCGTTAAGCCTTGGTCACTCACATCAAAGTCCAAATGCTCTGCAATATATTTCATTAGGAAGCTGGTGCTCCTCACAGCTCTTTCGCGCTCATAGATTTTGGTGGAGTCAATCCAGCCGTTTGTGTGCTGCAGGAGAGAAATCATCATCATCACATGGAAGGACAACCATTAATCCGGGTTTGCAAATTCACAAAGCTTTGGCTACTGGCTGGATCAATCATGCCGGGACAAATTGCAAAAAGGGGTTGTTTTGTAAAGGGGAAAGTTTGCTGCAATTTGTTCTACTTTGTTGTTGTTGTTGCTGCTGCTGCTGCTGCTGCTGTTGTTTTATACCCCACCTTTTTCCCTGACAGGGACTCGAGGCAGCTTACAAGCAAAATAAGAACAACTTGAGATATAGAAAAAAGAAACCATTAAATGAAACACATTGAACATTAATAGAATTAGAAATTAATTGGCTGTTGGTTTGTTTTTGTTTTATTGTGTATTTTGTGTTCTCATTTTGTTTTTTCATGTTGTGAACTGCCCTGTGATCTGTCATTTGTGTGTTTGTGATAATTACAATAATATAACATACACCTCACCACAGCCATAGCCATGGAATGCAGGAAGCATCCTTAGACCAAGCCCAGCCATTGATCCGCCAACCTTGGTGTTGGCCACAGGTAATGACTGGCAGTTGGCCCTTTGGGGTTTCAGACAGAGAGTCTTTTCCCAGCCCCACCTGGAGATGCTGAGAACTGAACCTGGGACCTTGAGCATGCAAAACAGAAGCTCTGCCCCTGAGCCACAGCCCTTCCCCTAATGCCATCAGCAGAGGACTTATCTTTGAAAGGAAACGGATGTGTGCCTTGCACAAACATTCCTAGCAGAACAGAGGCCCAGTTCACCATCAGCATCCACAACCTGTGAGTTGGGCACAGACGCCCCCCATGCAATCATTTCAACAGGATCTGCTGCTTCCCCCTGCTCTGACATCTTGGGGGCTCCCTTACCACTAATATATCCTGCAGGGCCTCCAGAGAGGGGGCCTCCGACAGCAAGCTGGTGAGCATGTTGAGGCAGGCGTTGACCGTCTGCTGATAAAAGTCCTGAAAGCAGAGAAGCAAAAGCGGTTAAAAGCTGAAGACCCCTGGGGAAATCCCATGTGCTCTGGAGCCTTCTAGTCCACCATCCCCGTTCCACAGTAGCCAACCAGATGACCCAGTGGGAAACCCACAAGCAAGACGTGAACTCCTTGGAGGTTTTTAAGCAGAGGTTGGATGGCCACCTGTCACGATTCTATGGTTCTGTGCTGACTGGGGCCAATGGCAGCACATCTGGCGAAGCACACATTCTTCAACTCTATTTCTTTTCAATGAAAGAAAAGTCTTTTTGCAGCCCGAAGCCAGAATGAGAAAAGAGGGAAAGAGCAACGGGGGGGGGGGCTGTTGTGGTAAGACTTTATTTCTATACCACCTGTCCGTTGCCCAGGTGAGGAAACACCTTTTGAATGGCACACAGAAACAAGAGAATCCAGTTAGGGACCCAGTATATTAGGGCTATTGCAATAGGGCAGCCTTGCCCTCCAGCTGCTCAGCAAATTCGTGACAAAGCTTATGCAGGGGTTCAAACTCAGCGCTCAAAGAGTCATAAAGATCAAACGTTCTTTGACATACACCAAGAAAGGTTACAGGTCATGGGATATAAAGATACAGGACTCCACACTGGGTTCAACTTCCTTGGGGTGTCCCAAACCATTTGGCCCTAACTATCGTACTTTAACCTCCATTGCCATAGCAATCAAATCTTCAGAGGGGGCTGTTGCTGCTGTTGTTTATTGAGAAGGCCTTGTGGCAGCTGCCTCACTGCAAGAACGGAGGTTACAGGGAAGCAGGCAGAGGGCCTTCTCGGTGGTGGGGCCCACCCTGTAGAACACCCTCCTATCAGATGTCAGAGCGATACATAATTATACTTCCTTCTGAAGACACCTGAAGGCAGCCCTGCATAGGGAAGCTTTAAATATTTGATGTCTTGCTGTGTTTTAATATGTTGGAAGCCGCCCAGAGTGGCTGGAGTAACCCAGTCAGATGGGCAGCATATAAACAAACGAGCAAAGAAAATTAAATGCTGCATAGGAGGAAGGCATGAGAGTCACAAAATGCAGGAATCATTCGTGGATGCATTCTAGCCAAAGGTTAAATGCAATTAATATTGAAACATGATTAAAATAAAATAAAAACCACACCCAAAGTCCCTGGTTGTTACATCATTGTGATGGGCCAAGTGTCTGTGGCAGCATTATCTGTAGCTTACACGGCCCAGACTCTCTGCCCTGGCAACTCCCATTTTCCTCCATTCATATCCCTAGAAGCAGAAGGTCCAGTCACCTGGCTCTGTGATGATTGCCTGGGACTCCCGGCTTTGAGTTTTGTAAGTTTCAAGGAAGGCAACGAAAACACCTTCTTGATGCTTTTCTTAACTAGCTCAGACCGAAGCATGGAGTCCATAGGTGGTCTCACGGCACTGAAGAGGAAAGAGAAAGGAGAGGAAATGCTCAGCACCCAGCAGTCCATAAACCTGGTGAGGAAATATGCAGTGTGTCTGGCCAAGTGTATGGCAAGGGAAGGGCCAGGAATAGGTGGGGCAGTGAGAAGTACCTCCCTGTACTTACGTCATGCAGCTGATGGTGACGATGGCGTGGTGCAGGACAGAAATAGAGAAAGATCCCAACGGCTCCTCTTCAATGACTTCCTGTTGTGGGGAAACACACAGCACGTCAGAGACCTGGAGGCACCATCGCTGCCGCCACCACTCCAAGCCCTGACTTGTGCTCTCTCTCCAGCCCAGCCCACTGGACAGCACCTTTGCAACTGGCAAGTGGGTCCTCCTAGGGGAGAAGAGTGGGCTTCCTGGATCTGGGAATCAGATCCATCTTTCACCTGGACAGAGCTCTACCTCCTAAGAGCATAAGATCAGCCTTCTGGACCAGCATCCTGTTCTCACAAGGGTGAGAAACCAGGGAGCAGACCATGAGCCCAAGAGCCCTCTCCCCGCCTGTGGCTTCCAGCAACTGATGTTCAGAAACATTGCTTCCTTCCGCTGTGGAGGTAGAACACAGCAATCATGGCTAGGAGCCATGGACAGCCCTCTCCTCCTGGGAGAACCTAGCCTCTTTTCCTTAGGCGCTGGTGACATCCTGCGGAGGTTGCCACAATGTAGGGCTGCCTTGCAAGAGGGTTTGGAAACTTGAGCTGGAGCAGAACGTGACCACCCAGAAATTGTTTGGGGCCAGATGCTCAGAACCTGCAACCCTGATATTTTACCAGAACTAGACCTACACAGCTATTAAAAAAACAACGCTCTGGAAAAAAAAACCCCAGGAGATTCCCCTCCTTTTTTCTTTTTTCTTTACTCACAATGATGCAGATGGTGAGCTCCGCTTTGTGCGGGAAGATGACATGGCCCACATTCGTTTGCACAAGCGCCTTGGTTGTTAGAATGGCTGCCTTCATAAAGCCCTTTTTCAGAGCCTCGTCCTAAAAGGAGAAGGGATTTTATAAAATTGAGATTGAATCAAAATCACAAGGCAACATAAAGTCTCACTGACCCTAACCCTAATTCTAATCCTTACCCTAACACGAACCCAAGCCCAAAATTAACCCTAAGCCTAACCCAGAAATGGTCTTGTTAGAGAGTAAAATTCATGTTAAATTGCTGTTTTAGGGGTTGTTTTTAAAAGTCTGGAGCGGATTAATCCATTTTGCATTACTTTCTATGGGAAAACGCTCTTTGCTTTTGGAGCACTTTGGTTTTAGAACGGACTTCCATAACAGATTAAGTTTGAGAACCAAGGTACCACTGTAATACCCCATTTGGTCCTAAGTGTGGAGTCAGTCTACAACCCTTCAGTGGATGAAGCCAGAGACCCTGCCCTAGGGCACAGTCTGAAGGCATGTGGTGCAAGGACCTTGACGGAGTTCAGGAGGTCTGCTCAGTGCCGAGAGAACAAGCAACAGAAGTCCGTGGGAAAATGAGAGCCATACCTTCCTGGTGTTCTGGAATTGGAAGAGGAGCTCTTCCACAATGAGCTCGATGAAGCGCAGGAGGTCCTCAGGCCGCGCCCCAAGAGCCATCTGCCCGTAGCAAAGCATGATGGTGATACTGGCATTCCTCTCCCCTGTATTCTGGGGGGAAAGGGTGGGGAAAGTGAGTTTGGGGCAACACACGCCTGGGTTTCATTTTTCTTGGCTCCTTTGAACAAATCACAGTGAATATTAACCATCCTTTGGGGCGTTTGAAGTAACACTTGATGGACGTTAACTGAAAATGGAAGGAAAAGGTTCTGATCTCCTTCCAGCTGGGTTGGAGGAGAAGTGGAGAGTCGGGGGCACACGACCCCAAGGCGCCCTCAGGTTATGGAACTGTTAGATCTGCACGCAGCTACTATGCCTTTGTAACAATTCGCCTCATTTACAAATATATGGAGGTGAACACAGAGAGTGATACTCAACTATGCTTTGCTTCAAGTAGACCGGTTGAAATGAATGGGCCCAACTTCGTCATGTTCATTAAATTCAATGGGTCTACTCTAAAACATAGTGGAATGTGGCCAGCAGGCACTCCCATAAGGCAGATGAACGCTTGCCCGAGAGCACCCCATTTTCAAAATCTGATTGCAGCTGAAACCTCTCCCCTCTTTCTCTCTGCCTCTCCCAACCTGCCGACTGCCTTCTCTCTTGGGTTTTGCTCCCTCCCCTCAGTTGGAGAGGTGTCCCCTCTTCCAAACTCTAAGAGGTTCTCCATTCAAAACTTTCTGACAGCGGAACACTCTCCCTCAGGAGGTTGTGGACTCTCCTTCATCGAAGGCTGGAGGACCATCTGTCAGGGATGCTTGAGCTGAGATCTCTGCATTGCAGGAGGTTGGACTAGATGACCCTTGGGGTCCCTTCCAACTCTACAACTCTGTGATTCTATCTTCTACGGTAACCAGGAGACAACCCCCCCACCCACCCAAATTAGCTTCCACTATTGAAGAAATGCCAGCCAACCATCCAACAACCAAGCTAAAAACATGAGTCAGTGCACTTTTGTATTGCTTGTACTTTGGGGATGACCAATGGTTTCCAACGAATCCGTTTGGCTGACTGACTGAGCAAAAGGATCAGATTAGATCTAGGACCTGGAGCCACAGAGACAGGACTGCTGGAGCCCACTTCAGAAGGATGGCTGAGACATACACCCAGAGGAAGTTTCTGGCCTTACATACTGAGAGCATTAGCAGATCTAATTCCTTTATTGGAGTGGTAAGGATCACATCCCTTGAAAAAGAGCATATTTTGAAATGGAGGAGGATTCATGCTCTTCCAAAGCAGCTCTGTTTTTCTAGATCAGGCATCCCCAAACTCGGCCCACCAGATGTTTTGGGACTACAGCTCCCATCATCCCTAGCTAACAGGACTGGTGGTCAGGGATGATGGGAATTGTAGTCACAAAACATCTGGAGGGCCGAGTTTGGGGATGCCTGTTCTAGATAATAGGAACCCAGAGGCTGTTTCGTATGCTTTGATGTGGATCTAATTAGCAGCTAAGGACCCAATAAATTGAGAGAAAAAGGGGAAAAGGAAATTTTAAAACAAATAATGGAGAATGAGAAGAGATTGGTTACCAGTCCTGAAGATAAAAAAACTAAAATGAATATTAAAGCGTTACAAGCACAATTTGCAATGATAATAAACAGAGAAGTAGAATGGAGATAAATAAGAAAGAAAAGAAGTTATTTTTATATGCAGTGACAGCAGCAAGAATACTGATGGCCCAGAAATGGAAACAGGAGGAGCTACCTACGATAGAAGAATGGAGAACTAAAATGATGGACTATGCAGAACCGGATAGAATGACTGGAAGGATCCGGAATCGACAAGACCAAAGATTTAAAGAAGATTGGGAAAAGTTTATCCAATATATGCAAAAACTGAGTGATAATCAAATTACGTTTGTAAGTTTTAAGGAAGCTCTGTGAGGGGAAATGGTTAAAATGGCAGAAATGTGTAAAAAGTAATAAAGGGAAAGAATTGCAGACAAATTGAGGGAAGTCAAAAAGAGAAGTAAGATTTAATTAAGATGTATGGAGTGTATGAATTTGTTTTTTGTATTTGAAAACCAATAAAAATATAATATATATATATATATAAAATAGCAGCTAAGGACCCAATCTGCCAGGATCTTCTCAACCTGGTGCCCTTCATATATTGTTGTGCTACAACTCCTATCGTGTCTAACCATTGGCCATGCTGTCTGGGGCTGATGGGAGTTCCAGTTCAAAACACACAGATGGGGAAGGGGCACCAGGTTGGGGGTGGCTGAGCCACACTCTTGCAATGCTCCTTCCTCATTTGACACCCTTACCTTAGAATGGCCGAAATCACGCAGCGCCATCAGCATCTGAGATAAATGGCAGTATGAAGCCACACCGACAGCTTCAGAAATTCCCTATGGAGAACGATGCACGTGTTATGAAGAAAAAATGCTCCTTTTCCCTTATGGGGTACCCAAGAGCCCATAGAGTCCTTTTGTAGGTTCTCTATTGGTAGGAGAAAATAACCAACCAGAGAATACTGAAAAGAAAAGCAGCTAGTAAGCCTGATCTTTATTAACTGTTGCAACAGGGTGCTCACAACCACACGCAGGAAGCAGGAGGGACCCCAAACAATGACACGCAAGCCCTTATATAGACATTTTAAATTTGCCCACCCTGGAGCCCAAGACCTGCCTCCCCCCAATACATCATACATACATCAGAGAAGGGGCGATCTACAACAGAATCCTGTCTGACACAAAACCTGTTGGTGGGGTTACCTGGCTGCTAATGGGTTTACCTGGACAGCCTGGCTATTCTTTCGTGATGATAACTACTTAATTCCTGAGTCCAGGTCACAGGCTCACCCTAATCATATCTTAAATGTGCCCTTATGGCAGGATTTGTGAGCAAAGAGACAATGGGGAGGTTTTTCTCATTTCCTCCCTCCTTGCAGAGAAACATTTGAGGTCAGTTTGGGAGAGACAAAATGGTTTCAGGACTTTTCCCTGTACTGTTTCAGACATGCGGTTTATATATTTATGTATGTGTTTGCTTGGTACACTTATTTTATATCTTAGACCTTATAATTCTCATAACACACGTCAATCTGCACTTTCAGAGACAATGTTTGAAACAAAACATTGCTATCTTTCAAAATTTGCACAGGTAATTTTGTGATGCAATCATCCAACCAATGTTTGAATAAATGTGCTGGAGGCGGTTGGAGGTTGGATGGCGGCTAACAGATTGAGGTTGAATCCTGACAAGACAGAAGTACTGTTTTTGGGGGACAGGACGCGGGCAGGTGTGGAGGATTCCCTGGTCCTGAATGGGGTAACTGTGCCCCTGAAGGACCAGGTGCACAGCCTGGGAGTCATTCTGGACTCACAGCTGTCCATGGAGGCACAGGTCAAATCTGTGTCCAGGGCAGCTGTTTACCTGCTCCATCTGGTACGTAGGCTGAGACCCTATCTGCCTGCAGACTGTCTCGCCAGAGTGGGGCATGCTCTGGTTATCTCCCGCTTGGACTACTGCAATGCACTCTACGTGGGGCTACCTTTGAAGGTGACTCGGAAACTACAACTAATCCAGAATGCGGCAGCTAGACTGGTGACTGGGGGCGGCCGCCGAGACCATATAACACCGGTCTTGAAGGACCTACATTGGCTCCCAGTACGTTTCCGAGCACAATTCAAAGTGTTGGTGCTGACCTTTAAAGCCCTAAACGGCCTCGGCCCAGTATACCTGAAGGAGCGTCTCCACCCCCATCATTCTGCCCGGATGCTGAGGTCCAGCGCCGAGGGCCTTCTGGCGGTTCCCTCATTGTGAGAAGGAAAGCTACAGGGAACCAGGCAGAGGGCCTTCTCGGTAGTGGCGCCCGCCCTGTGGAACGCCCTCCCAGCAGATGTCAAAGCGATAAACAACTACCTGACATTCAGAAGACATCTTAAGGCAGCCCTGTTCAGGGAAGTTTTTAACGTGTGATATTTTACTGTATTTGTGGTTTTTATGGAAGCCGCCCAGAGTGGCTGGGGAGGCCCAGCCAGATGGGCGGGGTATAAATAATAAATTATTATTATATTATTATTATATGCTGGCAAAAACGTGTACATTTGTCCAAACCGTGTAGCACTCCCTAGGACTTTATGGGAACACAGGAATTCACTCACCTCTCTGACTGTTTCCTCTTCAAGAGGCAACTTTAGAAGTAAGTGCAAGTATTGGTGGACTGTATCTTTGTTCCTGGAATCCCGTAGTTTGAGTCCGTAGTATCTATAGAGGACAGTCTAAGGGGTGGAGAAGGTTTGGGTGAGTCACAGTGAGGAGACCCCACCAGTTACATAAGCTGCTTTTCGAAAACCAAAGAATTTCAATTTTACCTTCTGAAAATGTCAGGTAATGCTTAATAAAATAATAATAATAATAATAATAATAATAATAATAATAATAATAATAATAATAGATTGCAAGTACTAGACAATTGTTTTAATGATTTGTATGCAATTTGACACACAGTTTACTTACCACACAAAGCTAAATTATATTAATTTAACCACAGTATCTTCTGAAATCCCAAGTCATGCTACAACTCTTTAGTACCCCTCATTTGAGGAATTTGAAAGCTGAAAAGTTCAGTGTGTCCTAATTGCTCTGCCTCCACAGCTGGAGGCAGGAATGCTTCTGAATACCAGTTGCTTGAAACCACAGGAGGGTGAAGGCCTCTGTGTTCTAATTCTGCTTTCAAATTTCCCATGGGCATCTGGTTGGCCACTGTGAGATAAGGATCCTGGACTGTGCAGGCTGCTGGTCTTACCCAGCAGGCTCCTCTTTCGTTCTTACGACACACTTTTGTCCTAGATAAACTGACCCTAGGTTCTTCCCGCTTTTTAAGAAAACTAGTACCTGCACCCGCAGCCTCTTATGGGTCTCCCCACCCACCCTGCATGACTGAAATTGGGAGAGGGTGGTCTCTTTTCTGGCACCCACAGTTGTTGGTTGCCAAGACAGAGAGAACACCTGAGCAGCAGGTTGCGTTCAGACGATCTCCTTGTATTCCCTGCGGGGACAGCCAGAAGAGGCAGAGTTGGTCAGCTTGCTCAATGAGGG